AACCTATGTAAATTGATATAGTACATTTCAAGCCTCTTATTGAATAAAATAAACTCAACTTGGTCAATAAGATTTATGCTTATATTATGGAAACCTAAGCACATTATTCAATATTATCCAAAGAAGTAATTCAACTACAAAATGAACAGCATGGTTGCCAAAGAGAATGTTGTATTGGAAAACAAATTTCCCTAGCTACAATAAGAATTTTATGGCTAAAAACTTGCATAATACCTAGTAAAGGTCTTATTTTTTCTTTAGATCCTTCATCATATTTTATAATAGAAGTTTGTTTAAGAGCAAAAAATCACAAAGTCTTAACTTTATTAGATTCAAGAGCCTTTGTTTGTTTTATAAATGAAGCCTTTGTTAAAAAATAAGAAATATTTTTAATCAAGAAAAATAAATCCGTGCATGTAGAAATCATAGAAAGTCATTTACTATCATTTGAAGATATTATCCATAAAATAGTTCTTTTAGATGTAGTGACAAAGATGATAATAGCTTAGTAATATTCAATGTCATTAGATCTCCATCTAATCTAGTTATTTTAGGATTATTGTGGCTAGAGAAGTATAATCCTCAAATAAATTGAAATTTTTGTAACTTCAATTTTTCTTGTAGTTTAGTCTAGGATATTGCTAGTTGAGTAAAAATCCATAAGTCTAATAGAATCAAATCTTTGCTGGTAGTTGTAAGAGCTTTCATGTATGAAATAAAAGAAGGGTCAACTTTTGCTATATATGCCACACCTATTTTTGATCAAAAAAAGAATTCAAATGGCATTTTAAGCCAATACTAAGATTATAAAGATATTTTTTAATATATATATATATATATAAAACATTATTCTTATGATTTTTCTATTGATCTTCAAGACTCAGTTCAACTACAATTCAAATCAATCTATAGTTTATTGCAAAACAAGTAATTGTAGTCAAGGAATATATTAATGAAAACTTGGCTAAAAACTTCATACACCATTCTAAATCTTTAATAGGAGCTCTCATCTTATTTGTGAAGAAAAAAGATAAATCTTTGCAAATGTGTATAGACTATTGAGGACTCAATAAGATCACCATTAAAAAAAGATATCTTTTATATTTAATTTAAAGACTTCAAGATTTCTTAATCAATAGAATTAAGTAAAGATCTATACAAAAATTGATGCACGATGAGTATATAGCCTGGTATGCATCAAAGAAGGAGGTAAATGGAAGACTATGTTTTAAACCAAGTATGATCATTTTAAATATAATATCATGCCATTTAGACTTGTAAATGCACCAGTTGTATTTTAATATTTTATAAATGACGTCTTTTATGAATTTTTTGGTGGTCTTATTATCTATTATCTAAATGATATTTTAATGTACTCTAACAATATAGAAGAATATGAACTTCATATTTGGCACATGTTATAAAAACTTACAGATATAAGATTATATGCTAAGATAGAAAAGTGTATATTTCACACTATTCAAGTTGACTTTTTAGGATATATCATTTCAGATGATTGTCTTTTGATAGATCTTAAGTAGATTTAGAACATTGTAAATTGAAAGATTTTAAAAATAATTAGAGATGTGCAATGGTTTTTAAGATTTGCCAATTATTACTAGATCTTCATCAAAAACTTTTCTCAAGTTGCAACTCTTTTTACACCTCTAATATATAAAGAAAAATTTGAGGGAAAAAAAGAAGATGAAACATCTTTTGAAGTTTTCAAGATAATATTTATTTTTGCACCAATTTTATATCATGTTGACTTTTTTAAGATATTTTTTATAGAAATAACATATTGGACTTTGCTATGGATACCATATTATTATAAATGGAAGTAAATAATGACTTCTATCTCATAGCTTTCTATTCTAGAGAATTATTAACAAAAAAATTAATTATGAGATCTACAACAAAGAACTTCTTATAATCATGGATTTATTTCAAGAGTGGTGTCATTATTTAGAAGGTGCTTCAAATTTAGTCTTTGTATATATGAATTATATAAACCTTGAGTATTTCATGTCAATACATCTTTTGAATCATTGCTAAGCTCGTTGAAGCATGTGCTTATCATGATTTAATTTCAAGTTTATTTATTGATCCAAAAAATAATAAGGTTTGTCATACATCCTTTCTAAATATTCTTATGTTACATCCAAAGAACATGCAACTTTTGATCAACAAAAACCAATTCTCTTGAAGCCAAAGCATTTTCATCTTTAAGCAATGAAATCAACGTTAATTTTTGATTCAACCTTTCTTAAGTAAGTTCAATCAAATATGTCCTTTGATCTTCTTATTCATGATATTAAGAATAATTCTTGTAAGTTTCATAAGACTTTTAGATTTGAGTTTAAGAATAATCTACTCTATTTTGATTGGCTATTATATATTCTAAAAGGCAAAGCATGATTATATATTCTTCAAGCTTGTTACAACTTTCCAACAACTCGATATTTTGGATATAACAAGATTTTAGAATTAATATTAAGAGAATTTTTGTAGCCTTAAATATAAAAGGCAGCTAAAAGACTTTCTACAATCATGTAATATTTGTTTAAGATTAAAAACTCTTCATCATTGACCTTATGGACTTTTTCAACTATTACTTATTTAGAAACAAGAATAGTCTTTTATTTCTATGGATTTTGCCACAAATCTTTTAGTCTCAGATTTATATGATTCTATATTTGTGATAATACATTATTTTATCAAGATGGCATATTTTGTACAATATACAAAATCTATCACTTGTAAAGAAGCAATTAACCTTTTTTTTTATAACATCTATTACTATCATGGATTATCCAAGGATATTACATTAGATAGAAAGAATCGATTAATATCAAGATTTTAAAGAATCTTTTTTAAGATTCTAAAGGTGGATATAAAACTATTTTCTTACTTTCATCCTCAAATCAATAAACAATTGGAGTGCATAAACTAAGTTTTGGAGTAGTATTTGATGTATATCATCAAATACCAATAAGATGATTGAACAATTCTTTTATCATTGATAAAGTTTCATTATAATAAAATGGTACATTCTTCTATACAACAAATACCTTTTTGGAGGAAATATTGTAATTTTTATAGGCTTTAAGATGACGTAATTAAGATGAAGACCTTTAAGAATGACAAAATCTTCTTTAAATACATGGCAAGATACAACATATTTGGTATCACAACTATAGAAGCAATTCTTCATATTTGGTGATTTTATTACAGGTAGAAACAATTCCTAATGGTTTTACAAATGTTTCATTTGAAAGAAGTTATGGAGGCTTCAACAACAACCAAATAACAAGATTGTCTTTATCTTAGAATGAGAAATTATTGATGGCTAAGAAGACCTATCGACTACCTTCAAAGGGAACAAAGATCAAAGTATGTGGCAAACAAAATTTGCCACATCTTGGACTTCTTCAATATATAATGGTCTTACAAATGTTAGAAACTTAGCCAATAAGTTAGCAATGTGTCGCATATATGGATAGCTTGTGATATAAGCTAACAATATGGTGCACATATAAGAAACTTGCCTTATAAGTTAAGACACATGTCTTGTAAATTGGACACATGTTGGAAGTTTTGTAGGATGCATCTACATAGCTCCTAGTTGAATAGTATATATGGAGGTAAGAGTGAAGCCTTTTTTTACTATTATCAATGCTTTTTTAGTCCTTAGTCTTGTTTCAAGACTTTCTAGTCTTCTTATCTTTTGTAATAGTCATTTTGATTCAATAAATTACTATCTTTAAGTGATTTTCTAATCTTTTCAAGTGACATAAGAGTATGTTGAGATTTTCTTTCTTTGAGATTCATGTCCTTGATAAGGTGTGGCTATAACTTCAACTTATCAATTATTAAGACAACTTCTAAAAATCCTCTATGTTGACTTAATTTGTTTTACAATATTGTTTATTGAAAAAACATGCATAATTGCGTACTATTGGAAGTGGAAAATTCTTATTCCTAAGGTAGCCAATTTAACACTTGTAGTCAACACAATTGATGATCTCTATTTAACCTTAGTTTAAATTCATATTTGACCTTTGATTGGTTGCATTGTTTTCATCAAAACTTTTGCTTCATTGTAAAGTTTTTATAAAAACAATGATGATTGAGTAATGCAATCAATTAAAAGGCCAATTTGCTTCTTTGGTTTATCCCTAAAATTTATACCCTTGATGTGTTTTATAATAAAGATAGAAAAGTTCATTAATTTTAAGATGCTTCACTAACTATCATAAAAATTAAATTATTTCAAATAGATTCCAAAGATGTCGTATTTATTTTATAAATTAATTTAGCCTTTTTTTCTTAATAATAAGATCATTAATATTAAATGTAGCTACAAATCCTTATGTGAAGAAAGTATAAAGGGTGGTTCCAGTCAGAGTTCTTACTACATTCAGTGAATAGCAGCGATTCCTGAAGGGAAGAGTGGCAATTGTTGGGTATAATTTCCACTGTAATGGATTGGAATACTGTGAAATTTGCATATTTGCAAACTTGTTAGTCTGTAAGAGTGTCGGCAACTTGCACTTCCATCTGATAATCTGAATCAGTTAAGGATTGTACCCTAAGCAACAAGATTTGTTTAGGTTTTTTTGCTACAGCATGATGTGATTAATCCTGGTTTCTAAATAGAAATACACGTCCTTTTGCTCTGCCAAGTAACTTGATTATGTATTGTGTTTGATTGAAACCGATTCATACACGCAAATTGCACTTATTTTCAGAGTTCCAAAACCTGCTTTATTCCTAGTATCTAGATTAACCAAAGGATTGAAGCCAAGACCTAGCACTTCCAAGTACAACATATTCAAGATATTTTCAAGTAATCCATAATCGATACTTGATGCCGAAGCTCTAAGGACCTAGCGTATACTCATGAACCCCACTAAGAGTCCAAAGTTGAGAATTCTAACACACATTATACCGCCTAAATGTATATGTATATGGATCATATTCATAAGAATGACGACATGTGCCTTTCAAACGCAGTCAACTCGAGGAGGAATTTATGACATTGATTAGAATTATTCCACTTCGATGCCAACACTTGAAGTCTTGAACAGAGACCTTCACATTTAAGCAGGCTCCAGAACAGATGGTTGGGATTGCTAGAAAAGCTTACTACTTGAATCATTTTCTTTGCTCAGACACACTCGAGAATCAAGTGCTTTAAGCTACATGGATTGAAGGATGAATAAAATCGAGAACCATCAGAAGCGTTCAACAGGTTGAATGCCCCATATATCCTGAGCATATTCTTGAATAGTGCGATCACTACTAAACTTGCCCGATCCGGCAGTACTCATGATACTCATCTGTGTCCATCGTGCGCGATCTACAAATGTCTTGTCAACTCTGGCCTGGAAAATAAATCACAAGTGCATGGAAAATGTTTCAGAATGCAGCACTAATCGACTATTGGATGGTGTAAAACAAAATATGAGTCATCGATAGGAAAACAGAAACCAATTGATGAAGGCCTCATAGAATGACAGCAAACACTTCAGGGATTTACCTGGGCCTCTAAGTAGCTGGCAAAATCATTACCAACAAGGTAAAAATCATCGCCACCATCGACTGTATCACAAAGCTCCTGAAAGTACTCTTTGTGGCCAAATTCACCACTACGGATCATTCTGTCATGGAGAAAAACAGAAAACAGAAAACAGATCATGAGCATGTGAATCGTCAAGAGATAGTAGCTAAATGATATGAAATAAGAACTTTACTAATAAAACCACAACCTGAATGTCGCATTACACCTATAAATGCCCATCACAGAGCTAACAGACGGATTATTTCAATTGTAGCAGCGATAATGCCAAGTACCCAGTAACACGGTGAAAATCCCGTGGTGGAATGAAATTGCGTCGTTCTGCACGTAATCGACCTAATTCATCGGCTTTAGCACCAAACATAAACTGCATAAATCATCACAACATTTGTGTTAATCACCTCAAATATATATAGAGCTCAGCATTGAAATAAACACTAGAGGGATAACAACTTCAGTTCGAAAACAAAACATGTCTTTAAAGTGAACATTTACACGACACCATTACAATGTAAGTCTGTAATCACTCCAGCCACATATAATAAAATTGTAAGAGCAGGTGAAGGACAATCACACCTGCTAATCAAACTATCTGAAAAGATGCTGCAGAACATCCTACATCCCTCGATTACTAGTCAAGCTAGATTTATCACGACTACATGACAATATATGCGTTAAACATGAACCAAAGTTGAGAGAAACTTAACAATATTCTCGTCACCAATTTCCTGTTGAATCTCATCATTAGAACCTCCTCTTGCAGCCAATAAAAGGCAACCATTCATTGCAAATTTCATGTTACTGGTACCAGATGCCTCATTTCCTACCGTGCTGCAATCCAGCATGACACTCAATAGTTAGTAGTAAGCTTCATAACTAAATAAAAAATCCGACCGAGGTTCACCTGTTAAACAAAGCCGAAAACTGACCTGATATGCTGTGACAAATCACTTGCTGGTATGACAAGTTCCGCGAGAGAAACATTATAATCTGGAATAAATATCTGCATATCAATCAAACTATCAGGATCAGTAACTGCTGGAGTATACAACTCGATTATTTAGCATGTAGGAGTTCGAACTACAAGTTTACTCACCACTTTCAGAAGATTGCCAATATCACTGTCGTCATTGATTCGTTCACCTATAGTGGTCACAAGCTTGATGATCTTCTTCGCAATCTCATAACCAGGTGCCGCCTTCCCACCAATGATACAGACACGAGGAACTACCTTCTTCTTTTCCTCGGGAGTCATATTCTGCAGGTTACACATCTTTTCAATATCACAGGCACTGAGGTGGTCTAGTGTTTAACACTAAAGGATCATATCGATCGAATAAGGTTCATCAGTTCTGTAAATTCACCGATACCAGTCCACAAGACCGCCACATTTGCAAAGGTTCAATAACAAGGATGACAGGAGAAGCAGCGGGTTTGTAACCTTAATGCAATCGTATCGGTGGATGATGCTGAGTACATTCAGAAGTTGGCGCTTGTATTCATGAATTCGCTTGACTTGGACATCGAACATGGCATCGATGCTAACCTGTATACATTTCAAAAGAATTATGAAACTATGCAAAAAAGTCATAATTTTGACCAGAGTTCCCAGCCTACATTCATACAACCAGCTTTGATTATCTACTTCTTACATAACCCGGAATACTTAGTGAATAGGCAATAGTTCGCTGTTTTGCAACAAGTCCGTATCAGATCAATGACAAGCCTATATTAAATAACAAGATATCTCTCATGAACAACTTCATAACCAACATAAGTTGGACCTAATCTGAAAAATAAATGAAATATAAAACACAAAGTTGATACTAAGGTAGAATCGAGTAGCAAATGAAAACAAGAACTGGGGGTACCTTGACACCACTGATTGCTTCAATGTACAAGGCTAAGCGTGCCTTGTTATGGCGCCGCACCTAGCACAGGAGGTGATTTGAGATTGTAGTGACATACAAGTAGCTAAAAACTGTAAAAAGATGAAATCGCTCAGACCACAGAAATTAAGCAAAATCCATTGCACGAGCTACATCGATCTAACCCTTGAAAAACAAGAGACTCAAGATAATTTCTCTACTGGTAACCAGCATAAACTGCAACTGAGAGAACTCTCGCTTTCTCAAATAAATTGATAGATTATCATGAAAGTCCCTATAATATGTGGGATTCGCAGCTAACCAGATTCCACTCTTTATGCAAAGTGGTATCACTGGCATATTGTCGAAGACCAGTGAGCAATTCAAGATTCGTTATCCAAGACTCGGTCCCCAACCATTTCGTGAGAACTTCACGTAATCCAGGATTGGAGAATGCCAACCAGCGTCGCTACACGAAAATAACGTCCACATCGAAACATCAGCTTCTGTTGTAAACTTCGATCAACTTCATCCTCCTACACTTTTATGAAAATGATAATAGCTACGCACAAGAGCATCCAAGAATGCAGAGGGACATGACTCTACATCACACTTTTCACACCTCACCTTCCGTCAGACCCTTCACTGTTATCTAAAACTGGAAGTGGCGTAAGTGCGACCGACGAATCAAACCAAAGTGTAAAGCTGTCTCATTCGAAAGACAAAATCGAATTGAAAATTGCACCTGAGTGACTCCATTTGTCTTGTTTCGAAACTTGTGAGGCCACAAGTCATAGAAATCCTGAGATTAATCCCCGCCAGTTATCCACAACAACCAAATCAACTTACAGTGTGAAGGTAAGAGTAACATACTTCCACTCCATCATTCGTACCAAGGGGGTAGAACTAACAGCATATTTTTGTTACATTGAAGTCAAGCATTCCCTAAAGTATACCTTTCTAAAGGGGAAGAACTGACCTTGAACACCGATCCCTTCAAAAGCTCGGTGTGGGACCAGGCCACACCATTGACGGTGTGGGAAGCTACTAACGCAAGAGAAGCCATTTTAATAACCTGCATTATTGACAGTTCGATATCATAAATCAAGGACTTCAAAAGCCACCTTCACACTCTCTCAAAGAATCGTATGCCTCAACGTATCCAACCACTCTTAAGTCGAACCAAGGACAGGTTGGAAAGAGTTGATTTGAGCTGCTCAATGAGGTGGTAAAGGATTGAAACATGCCTTCTTCTCTCCATCGTCAACAATCGACATGCGAGCCAAACGGTCGTAGTCGTTACCAAACTTACTCTTCACCTCCTCCAGGAAAATCGTATTTATTTTGTAGATTATCTGGAAAAAGCACGGAAGTACGAGTAAAAGTCAGCTTGTTTGCAAAGCACAAATCATCACATGTTGCATGTTTAAGATATTGCTTCTGGCGAATCTCCAAGCCATATTCCAAACAGAGGCCAAACTGGAAGAAAAAGTTAAGCCTAATTATTGTCTATTTCAGGATGTCGCTTCAAAACCTCGTCTTGTCATTTATCTTTTACAACAATCAACTAAGCAAAACAAGGCAACCGTTTTAGTTTAAGGAAATAGTGCAGGCTAGGCTCTTGATGAACGCAACTAGTTATGATAAACAATTACCTGAATATGCCGTGGAAGTAGAGCTTGTATGAGTTCAATCGGCCATTTCTCCAACATTTCCGGGAGTACTGAATGAATAGTAACAGAGAAAACTCTCGTAGTGATGTCCCAGGCCTTTCCCCACTCTAGTGACTCAACATCTACGAGCAAACGCATCATTTCTGGAACCCCGATTGTTGGATGGGTATCGTTCAACTGTATAGCTACCTGCATGGTGAGATCACCAAAGATATGCCAGAGGTTAATAAGTAGAGTTTCTTACGGTAAACAACTCGCAAGAGACCATGTATCAACAGGCAACGTCCGCCAATAAATTGTTGAGTATGAAGAAATGGGTACCTTTTCTGGAAAATCGTCAAAAGAGGAATGATTATCTTTGAAGCGACGAATAATATCTTGCAGAGTTGCTGAAACAAAAAAATATTGCTGCTTCAATCGCAGTTCCTTGCCCTGCGTGGATACTCATCAGTTAATTTAATTAAATGCATGAAAATGAAGCATGAAATTTTCATAAAAATTTTAAGTTAACTACTTTTAAACCCCACAGCCTGCCGGGGAACTACGGAACTGTAAAAAAAACATTCACAACGAAGTCATTTGCAAGTATTCACATTAAATGAAACTTGTTCAGCTCAATACTCTCAGTAAAAAAATGTACTAACTATTCAATAAACTGTCGAGAACACTTCCAAGAGAAGTTCGAAAGGTAGCAAAAGAGACCTGGTATGTTCGATCATCTGGATAAAGAACGCTGCTGATCGTCTCTGCACGTTGCTTGCTCAAAATTGCATTCACGTAATCCCCCGTATTAAACGATTGCTGAACCAACGATAAGATATCAATACACGTAAGTCTGTCAGCTATACTTCTAGAAAACGACATAGATACTCATGCTGGAAAAAATCAACTATAGCATTTAATGATGTGATAAACAACTCAAAATAACAGATTAGAGAACTAGTATGTATGAGTATATAACTAGGTCGCACGAGTATACCAAATCGAATTCTCCACTGGGTTTAGCGGCCCAGAGCCGCAGGTTGATGGTGTTGCTCGTCTTGTAACCAGGAATTGGGTTGTCGTAGGCCACAGCTTCCACCTATTTCTCATATGCACTTCCACGTATGAGGACCAGTTGTACATTCGATTATCTAAATACCTCAAATTTGATACAGGAGATGGTAATCGAATTAATGCGCGTTAAAGATATAAGCATAAAAGAGCTGTCACACTGCGCTCTGAGAACACGAGTTCACAGTATGAAACAAACAAGACAAGAGGAGGAAGTGTGGCATGTGTAGGTCTTCCAACAACCCCACTGTAATTGCCAATGTGGATGACTAGTAGATATAATCATAGATACAGAATCATAAGTCAGCTTTAGGTCATAAATTACCAGTTCATCAGGTACCCACTTGATAAGCTTCCGACCATCCACCCAATCCTCCTCAACTTTTCCAAAAAACTGTGACAACAATGTAACCGATTAGAACTTAAATAAGCCGAGCATTCATTGGCAGAAAGGCTTCATGTTAATGACTAAACCAGAGTGAATTCCAATACCTAGGATAAATGAAACAAATTATTTTGACGGCAAGAACTGAAAGAGGTCATATACCTTCACGGGATAGGTGACATGAACTCGTTCAATCTCCCACGGGTTACCGAAATTGAGCCAATAGTCTGGTTGCTCGTGCTGATAACCATCCTGCAATTGCTGCCTGAACAAACCATACTGGTAACGTAAACCATACCTGCGCAACCAGCCAAAATCTTCTGCTTAGCGAAGTTGAACCATTTGGTAACTTAAGCATGTGGCTTTCGTACTCTGAAGCCAGAAAAAATTTGAGGGAGAATGAGAATGAAAAAATGCAGCGAGTAATAGCGTGAAATGGGGAAGACCAAGTACCCCCAGGCAGAGTAGTTCATGGTGGCCAATGAGTCCATAAAACAGGCTGCAAGACGGCCAAGACCCCCGTTCCCCAATGCAGCATCTCTCTCCTACCAGTTTCTCAAAAATGTAAACGCATTCCAACGTTAGTAGCTCTGTCCTGACAGTCCTCATCAATGAAACTTGTACTAACTCCAGTGTAAAAGAAACGATGCCAAGCATAGATTAGACCATGCAAGCGGGAATATAGCTTCTAACAGGATTAGGCCCTTAACAAGGCGAACGAGGTACGAACCTGCTCAACAATAACTTCCAGATCATATCCCAGTTCCGACAGGGCTTGAGCATATTCGCCCTTAATGCCCAGATTAAATATACTATTCAGCAACGAACGCCCTGTAAACACGATATAGCTCCAGTGTAAGAACCACATTGTCCTTAACTTTATTCCAGCAAAAACTGACCTTTTGCTCTGTGGACAGAAGTATGCTTTCCAGTCAATATCTTGATATTTTCAATTTCAAACTTCGATAATTTCGCGCAATGCCACGCTCCATTGATTACCTCTATCAATCTCTATCTCGTGCAATAGAATTGCTAGCATTTGAATGGTTTAATCAACTTGACTTGCAACGCCTAACTAAAACGTTCAAGTGAAAGCAATCCTAACGCAGGGGAGACTGCTTGAAAATGGAAGCGCATACAAGTTTGAAGAGGACAAAGCCTTACCCATAAGGAACTCCATAGAAAGATAATAAACTCGCTTGGAATCATTGTCACGATAATATTGTTGGTTATCATTCCAGCTTTCAAGGAGCCTATCCCTCACGCTGTTAGCAGTAGCCTGAACACAATTAAGAATATTAGTAGAGCTGTCAGCCTCAATGCAAGAGCGAGACTCTTGCACTCAGGCATGTACACGCTTTGCATGGAGTTGCAAGTAGAGCCAGTTTGGACAGAGGAAATAACAGGAGTTGGCACCACTTATACCTGGTGATAAGTGCACGGAACCGTTGCTCATACTACTACAGAGATGATGCTAAGGTACTTGACAGATATTCGGATTTTCAGTATTGCAATAAAATTTCCCAGAGAGTGGAGACATGTCTAGCATGCATATCTAAAAGAGATCCAAGCAGCCGCAGAATATCTTCAGAAAAGAAAGACGACGGCGTTCTTCGAGCACTACCCTTCAATGGCTGAAAACAGTACTTAAAAGTTGAATACGATTCTGGCTATTGCGCTGTGTGCTGTCCGTGATTCGCACATGCACGAACAGGACTCATATACCTCGAGTAAGAGATAGCATCAATTAGTAAAGCAATGCACCTTGTAAGCTTCAAAATCATCAAATTTGAAACGAGAACGCGCAATAGTGTATTCGACATGGTCCACGATACTCTTCTGAATGCTTGGAACGTCATTCTTCAGATACTGATCCATGAGCCAAAGAAGCCGCCTACGCCGTTGAGTTTCCGGATCGCCAACATTGGGGCTGAGGTTGACATTCTTGCCAAGGTCGGACCACAAGGCCGGATTCAGAACTCTCCTTAAGACTTTCTCAACGTTCCCAAGGTACTCAGCATCCACAATTGCATTACCATCTTGATCTTGAATAGAGAACTTGTAGAAGACATTGCCATCCTTCAGGTCAACAGAAGCTTTGGCTACTTGCAGCTCGAGCGCCTTGAACTTATCTGTGATCGACGCTAAGAGACCAGGCCAATTTGGAGCAACAATCTCAATAGTTGTCGCTTTTTGATCTGTTGAAGTGTCTACGATAATTTTAATCGAATCTTCGGATGCTTCATCAATTGCTTCCGCGGATACCGACTGCGCATGAATTGTTGTTACCGAATCTCGCCCATACAAATGGGGACTCCTTCTTTGCAACTTCAAAGAACAGAAAGAGTTTGTCAAGTCATTCTCGAGAGCTCTTTGAGTGTAAGCGCTTGAAAAGGACTCTAAAGTTGCGCGACATGCGAGCTGAGGGAAATATGACGGGGAGGTTAAGGGCTTGGTTATGGTGAAAATGGGCAGGAGAGAATTTGAAGCCGATCTCTGACACAGCGCATTGGCCATCATGTCTACAAACACAAAGGAGCATTACAATCAGAAGACTGGAAACGAATCATGAATCTTTTCTGTAGGCTGCTCCTAACAGTGGTTGCTTTTGTATTTGTAAAGCGCTGACAACAATCACGGTCATCAAATAACATCCTACTAATTGCAGAGAGTGGTGATTGCGATGACAAGTACTTGCTAAAACGAGAGCATAGTGAGAACTAAGCTAACCTGTGGCGGAGACCCCGAGTCCATGCAAGGATGGAAGCAGCACCCTTGGTACTCGTTTCGAGGCAGCTGTGAAATTCGATTTCGTGCGATCAATTAAGTAGAATGCATAGATTTGAAAAATCCTGCACAATTGTACACTATCCCCCTCATCAATAACACATCCCAACGTAATGCGTTCAATAAACAGCACGCCATTCAAGACAGTGATTATCCGATGCACGATGTTTGCAACAAAGTTGAATTGCAGTCATGAGATGGGTAACATTGGAAGACAAAGATGAACAAATATTACCAGATAAACGGGTTTATCAACACCAGACCAATAAGGCCTAAACTGAAAGGTTTTGATACCTCAGATTAACGGAATCGAATTAGCTTGAGAAATCCCGTCGGAATCTGAGATTCACGTCACGAAAGCTTCACTACAGCCAACAAGGATTCCATTTTAGAGGGTGGATCACTTCAGAAATGCAACCAACCATTCATACCCTAACACAAGTACTGCTAACGACAATTGGAGCCGAAAACTTTCTGAAAACCAGCTCCAATCCCGGCGGCTTGATCCACGATCCAAAATCTCGCCCCAGAGACAAATCTAGATAAAGCTGTGAGCATCCTGTGAGAATCCCCACAAGCAGGTCTGTTGCTCTTTTGGTGGCTTTGATGCAGTTAAGAGTATATAATAGATCACAAGCAGATTCTGGTCAGTCTCTATCGATAAAGCTGGTGCGAATTTCCGTAATGGCTTGAACACAATCCACAATAACCGCAATTTGCATAAAATGTAAGAAACCGACCATTTCTCAAATCCCTCAATAGTATGCTGCAACCCACAAACCCGAGATACGAATACCTGTTAGAAAAACGCAGGCGCTAGATTTCACAACTACTTATTGAAACTGCTGCAGCATTGCAAGACTTAAGTGTGAGCGAACACGCCCTCCCCCACCATAGCCGCCATCTTTCCTGCGAACCACGAACTGAATGCATTGATGCAGAAGAGAATCAACATCCTCATTCACCCATTTTGGACGAAAAGTGTAACGAATGCTCGCAATAATCATCTGGTTCCATAACCATGGACGCTTTAACCCATGGTTTAAATTTGCCTTTTAGCCGGGTGGAGAGGCAAGCGTGGAGATTTTTCTATGCTGTAAAGGACATCCCCAATCCAGCACTTGCTGTGGTGAAGGATCGAAAGAGCAAAGCGATATCTCAGAAAGATCTTCGAAAGCTGTCCGCATCTGCTTAAGTCGAGAGATTTCGATTTAAGCCGACAAATGCATCCCGAGGTGGAAGTGATTGCATCATAAGTCTTGCACTCTAGGTTCATGTTCAAGTGTGGACTTTTCAACGCCATGATATATTCTTTATGTCCTAGCCAATAGCTCAAATGCGTGCGAACGCCATCAGATGCAAGTGTTTGAGTTATAATGCTAAGTTATCAGGTCAAGTAGAGGTCATGGTGAAGTAGAGTGACGAATAGACGACAACATCGCGAAACTCCAGCACCTGTGGAATCCAAGGGTGGTTGTAATTAGGTTTCATACATGTTGCTCACAGCCGCGGATACCACTAGAGAATGCTGTTTAGACCTGGCAATTTTTTTCTCTTTGTGACTTGTCATTCAAATTTTAGTTAGCCAAGATGACCTTTGTCTTGGCGTGTGAACTGGCCTTCTCATCCGACGTCAAGTCGTGTATCACAATCTGATGGCAACATATTCTTCTGCTGAACAACACAGCTCAGCTCAACACTCCTATTTGCTAGCACCTCTGGAGTTTACATTCCGATGATTGGCTTCGAATTTTCTCTACAAGCCGTGCATGACCAGGATAACAGCGACATAACGGAGTCAGATCGTCATAGAACCCCGGAATGTGACTTGTACAGATTAGATTAGCACTTGAAAGGGCCATCGCACTAGCAGGCACTTGAAATGCTGGTGGAGACCACTCGGCGAAACAATAAAGAGCGACATGACAAAATCAAAGGTACAAATCACATCGCGAGCCGAGTCTCTTTGAGTGGTGAATGAGGTATGGAAGAGGAAGAAGGTGTATCATGAGATCACCGTACTAAAAGTCACGGACAAAAACAGATCGCATCGTAAATCCACTTCCAGGGCCAAAAGCAAGCGAGGACCAACATCTTTCCACAAGCTAACACCCGTGAAGACCAAAACGCAGGCAAATCACACGCAATTTTCCACAACAGCATCTAGGAAAGGATCAATTGTATTCTATTCCGGGGACATTCGGAAGATGCGCAAGGAAGGGACGAGCCTCGGTTTCGCATGGCCCCCACCATCTCCGTCCATCTTCTCCATCCACGGCCTGCGTTCGTCATCTCTGTTCAAATTTTCCGTTCAAATTTTCGAGCTTGGAGATTTTAAATAAAATACAGTAATAACTATTAGTTTGATTGATACATATTGAAGTAGGATTGAGATCTATTAATATTGTGTTTTTTCTTGAATTTTTTACATATTCACTATGTTGAGATAAATCACTCAGTCAAAGTTCATCACTCAGTTAAGGTCAATTGTAGCAATCAAAAATTATCCTTTGGCAATTAAACTTTAAACCTATTTTAGTTGCCTTAATTTTTTAATCTCTTCCTTCTTCATGTCTTTACATGTCTTGTGACATCTTACTATTGCCAAATAAATCTTTATCAAAGTCAAAGTAGTCCATTGATGTAATTTATTAAAAATAGGTCTTTCACTTACACTTGATGAATCTCAACTTGTAATTTTCTATTTTCTTCTTAATTCCATAGACTTATTTCTAAAGCTTCTTCAATCTTGAGTTGAGAACCTAAAGGTTTTCATGAATCCTTCCTTGAATCATTCTATGACTTAAGACTTATTTTTTTTCTATATATACAAACAAAGTAGAAAAAAAGAACATGATAGACTTATTTTTGTAGTTTTTATTATGATAATTATAAAATAAGAATATAGATATTTATAGCTATTTTATAATATATATATATATATATATATATATATATATATTTTTTTTATTATTATTTGGTCTTAGTATTAAAAAAATTCTTTCTTAAGTATCTAAACTAATTAAGGCACCTTAATCACCTTGTTTTATTAAAAGATAGTATATAAAGATAAGAGTGAAGCCTTCTTCACTCTTATTAACTCCTTTCTTGCTCTAGTCTAAATTCAAGAGTCTTTAGTTTTTTTTGTCTTTTGACAATAGCCATTCTAGTTTTTTTTTAATATATATGTTTCCTTACTTCTATCTTATCATTCTTTTGTGAAAAAATCTTGGTTATTTGCTTTCATCAAGTTCTTATCTTTAATAAATTGACAAGAATATACTTACAATATCAAAGCAGTGTCTTTTCTTGACTTAGAGTGGATTATTCTTTTGTTTTGATAAGACATAAGCGTATTAGAAATTATGAATTATCTTCTTCTAAATTGATATTATCATTAATATCTTCTTTGCTATTAAGTCTTTTCTTCTATTTGTCTTAAGCAATATTAAACATCTTCTCTTCTCTAAAAGTTATTATGACAAAGTTCTTTGAAATGAAGAATACAATGGCACAAATGTAAGAGCAATTTAAGGAATTAACTCAATTTACCACCACAAGCATTAACAAAAATAGCAGGGAATAAAGATATAAAGATGATTGGAGCTCCTTCAATATTTGTACCAAATCATGTCTTTTCTCCAATGGTAGAACATCCTTCCAATATTAGAGAACCAAGGATTACGTTGCTTAAGAAGTTTAAAGATACAAGATCCAAATTTCAAGGATTTATCAATCAAGTACAACTTGTGATTAAACTTCAATCCTAAAGCTATCCAACTCTAAGATCACAAGTTAGATTCATTGATACATTTCTTTTAAGTTAAGTATTATCATGGTTTTGATCTTTTTTTGAACAACAAGATCCAATATTAAATAATCTAGAGGCTTTTTTGGAGGAGTTTTAATCCATGTATGAAAAACATGATGTAATTTGTGTTATAACCAACAGAATCTATATTTTACGATAAGGCAATTGATTAGTAACATTATATGCTTCATAGTTTTTGCAACTTATAAATAATATTAAATATAATGATATTGTACTTATTAGCCAATTTCTCTATGGATTACAATATGAAGTAAAAAAATTGATGCTCAACTTACTTGATCCTCAAATATTGAGTCAAGCAATTGACTTTACTATGAAGTGTGACAATCAACTTTTTGAATTTTAATCTAAGAGTTATATAAGTATACCTTGATATTATTATAATTCAATGGCAATACCAATGTCTCTTCAATATATACATTCAAAAGTAAAAGATATATAAATTAGTGCAATATGCTTCAAATCTCTTACTGAGCAAAAAAACACTCATTGTTATAAAGAAGGATTTTACTTGTATTGTGGAGAATCTAGGCATATTATTTAATATTGTCCAAAGAAGCATTGCTACTACAAAATAAGAAGTATGGTTATCAAAAAAGAAAATATATCAAAGAACAAGTTTGTTCAGCTATAATAAAGACCGTGTAGCTAGAATTTTATACGACACCTAGTAAAAATCTTATTTTTTCTTCAAAACTCTTTCATTGTTTTATAATAAATATTATTTTAAAATCTAAATCTAACAAAGCCTTTGCTTTGTTAGATTCAAAAGTCTTAGAAAGTTATAACTAAATTTGTATTTATAGATGCAACAACTTTGTTGTATATTACAAAAAATAAAAAAATAAAAAAATACCTTGTGTAATTTATGCGTCACCTATTTCTAATGATAGAAAGACTTTAAATTCCATCTCAAGTTAATATTAAGATTTTAAAGATGTATTCGAGAAGAAACATATAAATACTCTTTCAAAACATTGTCTCTATGACTACTCAATTGACCTTTAAAAAGGAACTCAACCATCGTTTGGACCAATCTATAGTTTATCACAAAATGAGTTGGCTAAATTCAAAGAATATATTGAAGAAAAGCTAGCCAAGAACTTTATATGCCATTCCAAATTTTTAGGAAGAACTCCAATTTTACTTGTGAAGAAAAAAGATGGATCATTGCAGATGTATATTAATTATTGAAGACTCAACAAAATCACCATCAAGAATAGGTACTTACTACCTTTGATATTTGGACTTCTTGATCAGTTGAATCAAGATAAGATCTATAAAAAAATAGATCTACAAAGAATGTATAATTTGGTATGGATCAAAAAAAGAGATAAATGGAAGATTTCATTTCAAACTAAGTATGGACATTTCAAATACAATGTCATGCATTTTAGACCTACAAATATACTAATAGCTTTCCAATATTTAATGAATGATATCTTTCAAGAAGTTTTAGATGAATTTGTTGCCTATTATTTAGATGATATTTTAATCTATTTTAAGAACATAAAAGAATATGAATTTCATGTTTGTCACATGTTATAAAAATTTAAAAATATGGGACTCTATGCTAAGATAGAAAAATATGTATTTTTTACTACTCAAGTTGATTTGTTAGAATACATCATTTCAAATAATGGACTTATGATAGATCTTAAGAAAATTCATACTATTATGGACTAAAAGATCTTAAAAATAGTAAGAGATGTCTAATACTTTTTTAAATTTGCCAATTACTATTGAATCTTTATCAAGGACTTTTCTCAAGTTGTAGCTTCATTTACACATTTGACTTATAAAGACAAACTTAAATGCAATCAAGAAGTATGAGCAGGATGTGAAGCTTTAAAGATAACCTTTATTTTTATACCAATATTGTATTGCATGAACTTTGTTAAGTCATTCTTTATGGAAACAAATGCATTGGACTTTAATTTGAATGCCATATTTTTACAAATAGAAATAGATGATAATTTTCACCTAATAGCTTTTCATTAAATAAAATTTTCAGTAGCTAAGATCAACTATGAGATTTATAACAAAGAATTTTTTATAATTGTAGATTTGTTTCAAGAATGATGTTATTATCTAAAAAATACTTTTAATCCAATTATTGATTA